TTTTAGTGTTATAAGCCTTCGGACATGTGCTGAGCCACTGCAGGTAAGGGGGGGGGGGGTATGAGAAATTAAACCAAGCTACTGCTCAGAGCCTTTAACCGTATAAGTAATGTTCTCTTGTTCAAAGTATAATAAAAAACACCTTAAGGTGTGAAAAAAAAAGGTGCGACTAAACTTGGGGCATGATGATGGATAAAACAGATACGAGGCCTAGCTAACTAATGAATGAATAGTTGCTGTAAAATTCTTATCAATGCTATAAATGTAGCTATCAATTTGGCCGCCAATTTTGATTAAGTCGCACGCTGAATCCTTTTTTTGGCCGCACCTTTTTTTTCACACCTAAGGTGTTTTTGATTAGATAACAAGTTTTTGTCAACATACACCACCAAACCACAGCAAGTGAGAAAGTGACACTCGATAGTAACCAACATTAGCTTTAGGATCGCAACCCTATTATTTGGAACAGACCTATACTTTACAGAACCAATCAGATTCTTTAAAATATAGTTTATATGGTAGTTTTTCTTCTGTAAAACAGTGTTAATAACTTCCTTTATAGTAACCCTATGAAATCTAGATTAACAGTTTCTTGTCATCACCCACATGCACTCGATACAGTCGTATCAAGCATAATTTTTTACGCTAATTGCTTAAGTTAATATCACGTGACGCTAAACGCTTTTTAATTAGAATAACTTCATCAAATTTAGCAAATTTATTCTTAAAAGTTGGCAATGAATAATGAATATTAACCGTCTACCCGTATGATTTTTTGTAAACTTGGGCTAGAACCTGCTAATCTAGTTTGCGTGGCCTAACCAATACTTATGTATCTGCACGTTTTTCACCCTATAGTTTTGCTGCTCTAAATCAGCTGTCTTTAATCCGAATGACAAAAACTAAAAAAGGTCCAATTTTACTCTTTGTTGAAGCTGTAGTAGAAATTTCAGACTGATAGCTCACGTGACGTTTTGCGTAGGCGTTCCCCAAAATTTTCGTCAAACTTGAGCGGTTTTTGTTGAATAAAGTTTCACATGTGGCTTATATTAGGCCGTCAAGAAATTAGTGTCGCTTTCTTTAGATGAAAAAAAACCGAACAACTTATATATCAAAACAAAACATTTATTAAATGAAATAACCTCCATTCTTTTCCATCTTACAATCAGGTTGTTAATACCCTGATTAAAGAAATCACTTGGCTTTGAGGCAAAAAAAAAAAAAACATGTCGATGTCCTCTTTAACACCTTCCACATTTACATACGTTTTCCCATTAAGATGGTGTTGCAGCGAACGAAAAAGATGGTAATCTGATGGTACCATATCTGGAGAATATGGTGGGTGGGGGAGAACTTCCCAACCGAAGAGACGAAGCAACGTTCATACATTGGAAACGATGATCATCGGGGAGTTCGTGAGGCACCCAAACACCTTCTTTATGAAGTTTTTCCCATATTCCTTAGATTTTACGTATTGTTACATGAGAGACATGCAATTTCAGAGCCATTTCAAGAGTGTGTTGCCTTGGGTTGGACTCAATAAGTGTCTTCAGGGCATCAATATCAATTCCAACATATCGGCCCCTGTCATCACAGTTTCTAAGGCTAAAGTCACCTGAACGAAATTTGCTGAACCATCGTTGACACTTACGAACATTCAAATCATTTCCATAAACTTCTTTGATATTATTTGTGGCTACAGAGGCGTTGTTTCCCTTTTTGTATTCAAACAGCATTACATGCCGAATGTGTGTCTTGTCGTGTGCCATCACTATAAGGGATTAGAGCATACTAAACTTTACACATTATATAAGTTACACTAACGTGACGTTTAGGCGGTTCATTTAACTATTATACTTGATATACGTTTTTTGGGAGGCAATCAATGAAAGTGTTCCAAACCTCGACATTAATTTCTTGACGACCTAATATTTAGACCAAATTTGACACCTAATTGTAGATTGTAAAGGTCTATCAGGGTAACAAATTAAAAAAAAATACCATAAATAAGTATATTTTTCTATAAAATAAAATTTCCGTACTTTCAGTTCGAACAAGAAACAAGAGGGAATCCTCAATAACCGCGGCACTCGAAATTCTTTTAAGCAAGATTAGAGTAAATTAATCTATGATACTTTTTTTTCGTTTTCTTAGCTATGTTTTCGTGCGCCAGCAATACCAAGCGTGGGCCGCGCGTATACCCGATTCAATTCTATTATTCATCAGGACCTCTACAAGCCTATCCTCAAATTGAAATTATTTTAAGCAGGATTAGAGTAAATTAATCTATAAGACCTTGGGCGTGGTCGCGTACATCACTCGAAAGGGTTTGACCTCCTAAATCAAAAACTGTAATTACATCTCAAATCAGTCAAGATATGACGGAGCCATGAGCTAAAAGTTTGTACTTGAAAAAATTATCAGAGTCAGTCTATGAGCCGTTATGCCGCGGCTAAAAAAGGGAAAAAAAATTCAATCAAAATTGGATATTTTATATCTCGTGTATTTCTCAATGGATTGCCTTGAAATTTGGTTTGAAATTAGCAGTCACATATGTTTGAGACAATATATTTTTCTTGTTACTAAAATTGTAAGTTTTGACATAAAAATTATCCCAAACGATCTTGGTGCTGAGAAAATTATTACATTATTTCAAGCAGCTTAGACACTGGACAAACATGGTTGGCTCGTTTGTACTTAAGCACAAACTACTAAATGGGCCATCTGTGCTCTGCCCACCACGGGTATCAAAACCTGGTTTTTAGCGTTATAAGCCTCCATCTTACCGCTGTGTCAGTGGAGGGGGGGAGGCGAAAAGTATAGAAGAATGAATTAGTAACAGTATTGTTACTTTTTCTACAAATATAGCATGTATGTAGCTATTTTTAGTAAGTAAAAATTATTTTAAACAACGTACACATAGATTGTCGTCTTTGCAATATACCATCTAAAAATAAAAAGATAAAAAATGTCAGGAAATGTCCACACAAGAAGAAATTCTAAATTGTTTCTTTATTTTCCTCGACACTGTAGCTATTGATATTTCTTTTATAAGTAGGCCCGGCATGGCCAGGTGGATAAGGCGACTCGACTCACAATCTGAGGGT